ATCATTTGAGTTCGGCTTAAAGTCTTAATGGCTGACAAGTTTTAGGCTTTCATTTAATATGTTAATTAAATTCATAAATTACTCAATACAGTTGACAAATTATTATGTTATTAACAAAAGATTGCAATCCCTTCGGAAAGGTGCAATATCCAAATCAGGAGCAGCAATTATATCCCTTGGCTAATCATTATGTAATTTGAGCAGGACCTTTACGCAAAATTTAACATCGTGATAAATTGGTAAGTTGAACTCCAGGGCAACTACTAAGTATGCATCTTAAAGACTTCGACGAATGTTCGCAAAATAATTTTTAAATAAAAAAAAGGTGAACTGGTTAATGAAAATAATTTATAATTTATTTGTTTTCTTTTTTAATTATAAAATAAGAGTAATAAAATAAAACTCTTGAAGGAAAAGAGTGACAAGGAAATATAAGATCTTCTTTATTTTATATAAGAAAAATAATTTTAATTAATAAATTAATTAATTCAGCTTTGAATTAGAACTGAAAATGCTTTATCAGTTCTTAAAAAAACATATAAATATTTATTTTAAACAAAATCCAGTCTTCAAGGTCTTAAAACTTTCCTAAGAAAAAATGCGAGTTGACAATAGATTTCAAATAATTTCAGTAGTCGAATATGCTTATCCCATTGACCTACATATATAACATTATAGCTTAAACTCAAAACATCAGACTTTTGAAGTTGTGAAATTTTTTTCATTTATTGCAAAACAGCTTAATTACATGATAACGTATAGTTAAGAAGGTAGGGACAAATCCGTGCAAATCAATGCAAGTAACAAAAGCCCTTTATTAAGGGTTTCCTTCGTTGCTCCATGTATTTGAACAACGTCTTATTACCTAAGAATTGAGTGCAAAATACACCCCGTGATGTTTCATGACACACCTAGTTAAGAGTCTTAACGGGAATCCTAGGGATCTGAATCAAGGCGAGCGTCCCTGTGTATTTGAAAAATATACAATAACCTCAGAAAATGAATGCAAAATAAATCAAAATATAATTGGACAAGCATCTTACTGTGAAACAAAGAGATTCGCATTAGAATAAAATGTGAAAATAATTCAACGGTTCCAATCAAAAAACCTGTGAATAATAATATAGGCTTCAGGAACTACTTGTTAGACCAAAATTTAAATATGAATTGTATATACGTAACAAGAAAATAACAAGCATAATGTTAGCAGACATATTTAAGTCGTCTTGGTAGTCACCTATACATTCGAGCTCAGGCACTTTCGAACCCACCTCAGGGGGCTCCTGAGATTGAAGTTCTAATTAACGGGACTTCAAGTTCTGTTAGTTAAACAAAAATCACTGAACTCATATAATGCTTAGAAATGTTTTGATTAGTCTCCATATCCAAACTACACTTTAAATCTAAGCTTCACACTATATAGAAATCATGGCTTCATATTCACATATTTGACTATATTTTTGATAAAGAATATAAATGGACTTTTGCATTTTATGACCAATTTAAGTTAGAGTCAACTGCTTATGCTATATCATCAAGTCTCTCATAAATCAATTCTAAAAATACTAAATTTTGCGATAACCACTTAAGAATAGATTTGACAATAAAGACCCTGAAGTTGATGACCGAGTGGCGCTGATGAACACATCGAGAAAGCCAAAAAATTCTTCGAGGTGACCACTCTGTGTCTAATTCATTAAAAAGCAAACTAGGGTATGCAGCATCACTTTCTATCGCCAATATCGCCGATTATTAGGCAGGCGTTCATATATTGACATGTAAAAATATTTTTTTTTCTTTTATAGCTATTGTTATTGTTTGTTAGTAATTTTATTATTATTTTCTAAAAAAGGTTTTCAATTTTTACCCTATTTGTATTCACTTTAAAAAGCTAAATATATAACAAAAGTTTAAAAAAAATTTATTTTTTTTAATTTATTTCATACATGGACGAATCGTAGCATTTAAATCAATATTTAAATATACGTCCCTCTGTACATTACAATAAGTCTTATAAATGTTAAGTTAGGTTAATAAAATGCGATCTTAACTATATTGTTAAGGGGACTGCAAGCTAGGGGACGTTGAAGGCCCGTGTAGTGCCTGTTATTTAAATATCTTTATAAAGAGGCAATAAAATTATTTGATTACATTTAAATCAATATTAAAATATACGTCCCTCTATACATAACAATAAGTCTTATGAATTGTACGTTGATTTTATGTGACGTTGATTTTTAGTCAACAGCTATGGGACGTTGAAGACCCATGTAGTACCTGTTCTTTAAATGCCTTTATAAAGTGGTAATAAAATTATTTGATTTCATTCCGTCTTCAAGTCACAGCCGCTCTTTTAAGCTAAATAATAATTAATTCTAATAATTAATAAATGTTAATAAGTGTAAACATAACTTGGTATTATTTTGTTGCAGAAGTATTGGAGGTGTCTATTCATCAACTTTAACATTTACTCAAATTATTTAAAACAAATAAAAAACAATATTAATAGAATAATTGAATACTAATTTTTAAATGTATTTTATTGTAATGTGGATTTCTAATTATTTATTGTAATGTAGTTTTTTAAGTAATTTTGTTAAATTATTTAAAACATTGCAGTATTTTGTAGTAAAAGTTAAATGATACAACAACAAATACAACAAATGCATTGTTAGTAAGGCCGTCACTTTTTCAATTATGAATTAACAATTATGAAAGTCTTGAAAACATTTTAATTGGCGAGGTGAAAAGCCAAATGAAAAATGTCAACTAAAAAGGGTAAATTAAGATAAATGCTTTAAAAATTAAATAAACGCGTTAAATTATTATTTGATGTGGGTTCAGTTGCGAGGTAACAATTTCATCGGCTGAAAAGAACACAAGTCCCAAAAAGTTTATTAAAAAATCATTTCAATATAATAAAAATATGTACATACATAAACACACATATATATACGTATACACGTATATATGTATATGTTATATATATATATAGTAAAATAATTAATATATGTTAAAAATTTGTGAGATGATGCTTATGTTTCTGTGTTGTGAAATTTTCTTTTTTATTGCAATTAAATCCATATTTTAAATGTAAATATATTTAAAAATACATTGATCAAACTTTAAATATATATATTTATAATGTAATTTCTATAGCTATAATGCAATCTACACACACATGCCGTTTTGTCTTCTAATATAATTGTCATCGATTAAACTTATTGAAAGTCGGTTTACATGGTTATCTTTTTACATCCATTAAACCATAATATATTTACGTTTGTTGGATTGTCTATTAACCAATAATCGCGAAATATATATTCCATATATTGGTTGGATAGCTTTATAAAGTTTCAATATCTATATACCATAAGTATCTAGTTACACCCGGTAGATTAATAGATGTATACAGGTCGTACACGTCTTAGCATTGTGTTGTGAATTAGTAATTTATTTTCACTCCTAATTTGGGAGTCTCACACTCCTTCTTTAATGTGTTTTAACAAGTCATGCTTTCATACCAGAATATTTTAACCCTTTAAGGTATTTCTAATAGAGAAGTTTTTCGAAAAATAGTGAACTTCAACAACAAAAATTCTTTGTTACATTATTTTAATTAATTGAACGAAATCATAAACCAGCTGTAGAATTTCAATACTTTTCTGTTTGTAGAAGCATTATTTGTATGATTTATATATGTTTTCTTATGTATAGCACCTAGTCTAGGAACGTGATATTGAGAAAGTCATTATATTGTGCGATTCGACCGTGCGATTTGTGGAGTTATTTTTAATATTTAATTTTTTCTTAAACAAATTCAGTTTTTATAGCATAGTTTTAGGTGGTTATAGATAAATCCAATAAATTTTGTATCTGAACTATTACTATAGGAACTAGATATGTAGTTTAAATATTATAAAATATATATAAAATATTCGTAAAATATTGTATTATAAAATATAATATTTAGAAATACATATAACACATCGCAAAATATTAATCTGATTCCCGACAAATTTTTATGTTCGAAGCTTTCCAATATATAAGACCTTTTTTAAATAACTACAAAGTTTTTTCAGAAAAACCGACTTATTTATTATAGTCAACTTCTAACCAAATACACTAATTAGCATCGACTTAAAGCATTTCGAGTGTGTAACATTTTCCGTAAGTATAACCTGCAGTAGACCGGTACGAGACTTAATTTTTTTTATTTAAAAGTTTTCCTTTAATCGACAAATACTTTTTCTTTTCGGAAACAAAAATTGTTATATACTTGAAGAGAGAGATTGATCTTGTCAACACTTGTGAGTAGTAAATTTATACAAAAATATATTTATGCCACACCATACACCATATATACATATATATATTAGAATTTAACTCTTATATAGAATACTATTTTTATTTTATATTTTACAATCACATTTTTAAATAAAATATATGTAATATAAAGAATTGTAAAAAATGGAGTAAAAAAAGTTATGAATATTGGAAATAGGTTTCAAGATTCAGAAATATTTGCATTCAAGCACTTTTTAACAAATAATTATTTCCAGTTGCTTTAGTCTTATTTGAAGTTCATTTTTATTACTTCCATCTTGAGTATTCTATGTTATGTACTTTTTAGTCGACGTAAAGGAAAAATGAAAACAATTAAAATTTAAACACAAAGCATTTCAAATATATTTCAGAACCACTTGAAATGTTATTTCTAGAAAGAATCGCACTTATGTATATGTGTGCATAAGTATCCCCCAATTTAATTGACACAATTTAACCACTTTTGTTTCTAAGAAAGACAGAACTAAAACCACTTTCAACACGCTTATGTCCTTAAATATTTGAAATACAGATAAATAAGTGAACTTATTCCAATGTCATCAAATATTTTCCTTGTTTTAATTGCATAGATTGCACAGATTGCCCTGTTGTTCTGCTAAAAAGTATATTAAAAAAAATATACTGCATTATCTTTATTTATAAATTTATTTCACGATTAAATTTTTTTTTACATGGTATCCCCGTTAGGCCTAATCCATAAAAAAAAGACTTTACACTTCACTCACTATCAGAGTACAATTCGGGATTTATTAAATATCGATTGTATTCTTCCTGTGCTTTAACATGTGCTATCGATTCCTCGCGCGACAGCCCATATTTCTTCATAAACAATCGTAACGCCCATTCATTTAGCATTTCCAGTAATAAATTATTCGATCCCTGAAGTATTTAATTTGAATATATGAATATATGCTTTTAATAGAGAAAATTAATTAGTACGAACCACATGCATCCCGTCATAATAAAGTTCTTCTAGAACATAACACATAACCAACTGTAATCCTGGATCTAATAGTGACACATAACTCATATCATCAAAATCCGGATTCGGATGCGCAAACACACCATCGAGAATGGGTAGAAATTCATTTAGACTATTATGCATATCGCATAATGTCAAGTCCTTTAGATCTCTGAAATGCAAAATTAAATTAGTGATTCTGTTTATATATGGTATATAAGGGGGGCCCCCCCCCTTAAGGGGGGTAGAAAAGTATATATTAATATTTATAACACATAATGATTTTTACTTACCTATCTTCTACTTTTTGAGGTATCATTGTTAATAGAAAATTCTCACTGGAACAATTATACCGAAATTAATTTGACAATTGGATTTGTTGTTGTTGTTGTGGTTTAAGGTAGTGCTGTTGCGCACTTTCACTCTTTTCAATGGCGACTAAGTTCAGAAGAAATTTTTACTGCAAATAATGAAGTTCAAAATGTTCTTTGGTTTAGTAACTTTTGGTTGAAGGTCTCCAAAATGTTTGCATTTACACTGTAATTCTTGTCCATACTCTTCAATATATTCATATGAAGGTGTGATTGAATAAATTTTATGTTTTTTATTCTTGTAAAAACAAGAATAGAAAGACATTATGATTTAACTGAAAATATTTATAATTAAAGTAAATTCTAAATTTTCTAAATTTTTGTATTATTAAAAATAATTTATTTATTCTGTATAACTTTTTTTTTCCCATCTCATAAAGTAATGAAATTATTTCATTTATTTATATATCTTTTGTTGTTTTTCTTATTAAAGTATTTTTAAAATAAAAACTCAAAATAATGTTAAATTTATTTAACAAAAATGTTGTAGGAGTTTCATGTCTTATGACAAGAAAATATTCCTATCTGGCTTGAGTGATATTTGTATTCATTACATATCTATATAAATTCTGAAATAAAGTTGCAAATCGATTTACATGTATCTAAGTAAGTTTCTTCTTTTTCTTTCTCAGCATTTGAATCGTACATTTTTTCTCAAAGTATTTAAATATGGAAAAGAGCGTCAAGATCGTCCGTATTTTACTTGTAATCCTGCGAAGAATATGATAGCCAAACAGCGAAAAATCGCTAATTGAGGTACATGAAAGTTGGAAGTTATCTAATGGCGTGCCACTGCAACCAACCAACCAATCTCGCTCTGCCAACGTGGCTATAATAACAACTTGCACAGAGTTTACTCTTAGTTAGTAATCACTATCTAGCAATAACACTCCTGCTTCGTCCGCTCACTTATTTACAAATCTAGTTTAGATATATTTGTTGCTGTAATGCTAAGCTTTCTGTGCTCCAAAGTCTCTCTTTCGTTGAAAATTGGAATGGGGTTTCGGTTTTTGATCTTAATGGTCTAGTAGCTGAAATTTGTCCATTTCGCATTCCTATAATATGGTTGTAGTGGGTTCAAGTTTTACACTGTGGCTTTCGATGCTTTCTATCCACTGTGAAAAACAAAAAAAATTTGGTCCACATAGACACGGTACGGTATATCAAAACATTCTGCGGTAACGATATAAACAAGGTAATACTAAAAGACGGCTTTTTCAGATTTATATTATAATTATTTTATATAAATTTATTTATGAAAGTAAATGTCTTATTTTTTTTAAATAGAATTTTATGCATTTTTTATATCAAAACATTAATATGTAATATACATTAAGAATTTATATAGTAACATTATTACTTATATGGGTTTGAATTAATAGAACCACTTTTGCAACTTCAATCAGGTTTTCAATGTTAAACAGTCCTTCTATACTTAATTTAAAACGGTCAAATCTTTCAAACAAAAATGGATGTCATTACCATCTCTGTGAATATAGTGAACTACAGCCGCATAGTATGGTATCTGATTGTGTTATGTGAGATTATAGTTCTTATCTAGTTGATAATCTAGTTGTAGATTTGTCATACATAAATAAAATCTCGTTGACAATATGATTAAAATCGTATATTTTTTTCATGATTTTGGAGACATTGGATGTGAAACAAAATTTTATTACATATAATACTTTTGTATATACTTTCAATTAATCAAAATAGATTGTTTAGATATATTGGAATTTTCATTTCTTATTATTTCTATTCACATGAAACAAAGTCTATGAGACGCAAGAGGACATAAAAGATTTTTTAAGTACAAATTCTTTAAAACTATAGCCAATTTGTGATTGAAGATATCTTCAATGGGCAGCTGGTTACTGCCATTTAACTCCTTTCATTTAAATAGAAGCTTGGAAACGATAATTTATAATGTTTATTTTTTAAATTGAATTTATAAAAATTCATTTTAAAAACTTAATTATTTGAAACTATATATATATAAATACATATTATACATATGTGTAATACATTATTTCGAAATCTCAGTGTCCGGTAACAAAATATTAGTAATCACACATGAAATAATAAGTTCGATTTGATCGAATTAAAATATATTATATTTAGTTAAGTTATTTGAAAAAGTAATATTAGAATAAAATTTCAATACACGAACAAGATCTCATATACCTCACAATTGTATGAAAAACTAACATCTGAACGAAAATTTTAGATGAAATAAATATCTTCACATACGAATGCTAAGCCTACAAATCTTAGCACAAATAACTGCAATGGAATTAAATCTAGTATAAATATTTTGTATTTAATGCAAAAGCCTTTATAAGTTTTTCTGAGTAAATTTCCGTAAACATTGACGAAACTCCATATAGATTCTACAGGAAATAATTGAAAAACTGAAAACCAAACTTGTGGAAAGTACTTACGATTGGCTTAATCTGATCAAGACAAGTTTATATACATAATAATTGTATGTTGCCTTTTGCTTGCAGATGCGTACACATGTATATATTTATACATATATGTCCCTGTCATAAAGTTTCATAGAATATCTTACGAAGAACAAAAAACTTTAAATGTTGTCACAGGATTTCTGTTATCTGCATGAAAAAATGTTGTTGGGAATAAATTGCTTCTCAGCTCATCGATATTCGACACATAACACTGCATAAAATAAAAACTTTCACTGTAACTGTAATATATTTTTTAAATACAAATACATACTTATACATATATATACATAAATATATATAGTAATATTAATACACTTAGCCTTGTTTATGGAGACTTTTTGCATTTTTATCTAAGCTTATGTCATTCGTAGCTTAACAAATTTTCATTATGGTACATAAAATTCTGTTTTTTGTTAAAATGTCTTTTTAAGTCCTTTCAAATAAGGATTATGTTTTTCCTATTATATTTGATTAGTAGCTTAAGCAATTACAAAGAAAAGAATTTTAAAAGATTTAAACTGAAACAAATCTTCTTGTGCAATACTACTTTCTTTTTAAAGAAGGCAAGCATCAACTTAAAGCAAATATCCCAAAATAATGACTTTATTACACAATTCACATATTTGAATTACACAATTCAAATATGTGACTGGATATACCAATACTTGTCAAGACATCTTTATTCGCAATTTTATCTTATAAACATATTACTAGTTATTAAAAGCCTTTAACATTTTCGTTGTTTTTTAAGAGAATATTTTATATATATCGACTATTAGTGCTACTGCGGTCTTTACAACCCAGCTTATTATCTTCCCGCCAGACTAAAACACGACTAAGAAGGAAGAGAGAGGTCGTAGCCTCTTGGTAACTCAGAAACTTCCAACGCAAAAGTGATGCAAACATCTAGCAGTGTTTAAATCGACTTAATCTTGGAGAGAACGCACTCTACCTAGAATTTCCCAGTGAAATCGAAAGAGCATTTTAAAACCAATGTGTGTTAATCATATGAAAAATGGTTGACAGTTCAATCGACTGTTCAGTTAGAACGCAATAGAGAAAAGTAAAGTAAAAGCATGCGAAGAAATCGGGAACCTAAAGTGGATTTGCTACAGTACTGACATAAGCACAGCGATCATCTTAACAAAGGAATTTTTAGCTACTCGGTTATCATAAAATACTTAAAAGTCAGGAAGATTCATGCGTCTGAACGGGAGGAGATTTTAGAGTGCTGAAGTCACCTACTGACTTAGGGTTTCGACATTTTCACATCCCCAGTCACAATATTGTGTTGCTGTATATGTAAGCCAAAGTGTTTTCTCAAATTCTGCAATAAGTTTAAAAAATAATCCGTGGCCATTGACATAAACTAATAAGGCTGGCAGTGTTACCGCAGTCTCTTCAAGTTTAGTCTTCGTTTTTATTACACGAAGACCAGTTCTACCGCTGTAATACATTTGTTTCAAGTACCATAGCTTCTTCCTACTAAAAGCTAGTTGAAGTAAGTGACTGTAGCTGCTGCTCTTAACAACTTCCAGGGAGCGTCAATCGGCAAATCTAGAGAAACATAAATGCAGTAGCTCATAAGAGTAATGTAGTTCATAAAAAAATTAAAAATTTTATATTTTTGTGTTGAGGAAATTTTATTGTTTATACAAAGCACACAATTTGCACTATTTGAACATTAATCGTATGCGGAACGTGTTGCCAAAGTGTCAAAGATGCAAACTACAACACATTTCCAGCATTTGGCATGAACTAAAGAATATACACAAATTCACATCCCTGCATATGCAAGCCTTTCGGAAATGCTTCCGTTTTCAATCACGAAACGGCATAAAAGTCGTTCTATATGCAATATAGGGAGGAGGATACCATATTCATGCGCCGGAATGTATGCCAAGTGCGGTGTGCTTGTGGCTTACGTGCGTACGTTCATACGTTCGTACGATCCTACGTGTTGGGAGGCAGATGATAGCATTTGCTACTTGTGTACTCGTAATGATTTATTGCGATTTCCCAATGTCAACTGCTGCTGTACGTACACGTCTATATGGGAATGTGGGGTTTCAGATGTATGAAAGTGTACACATATAAAGACAGACGGACCAGCAGACAAGCATCTGCTTAGATACGCTCACATTTGCATAAGTCTACGAAGCCGAGCAGATACAAATGTTATTTTGCATTTACAAAAATTAACACTTTCTTGTAGAAGCTGCTATAAATGACAGCGGTATTGAACGTGCCCAGGATGCTGTGCCAGTAAATGGTACAAAATGAGATTGCATAATGCCGGCAGCGTCTATGCGTCCGCAGATGTGCTGTCACACCAATGCGTTGTAATGCAATTATCGCAAATAAATTGCAAATAAAATGTGCCTGAGAGTAGTTTCATTTCAGCAAAATCCAAAGAAATGATTATTGAGTTATTATCCCTTTAACCCACTATGCACTAGAGATATTTCTAATTTTATTCATTAAGTGACATAAGTTTGTGTAACATTTGAACTCTGGAGGAGTAAATGTAATGATCTACAATTTGTTTTGCCTTTCAGATTAGTATATAATAATCTATTTGTTGATACTTTAAGACACCTTAAAACCTCTACCCAATACATGCTCCACCCAATCAAAAGGTTTATAAAATAAATTAAAAATCATATAAGGAGTTCATAATTAACTTGAAATTTTATTTACAGATATATTCATCCGCATTTTGTTCTCCTTAGTCTCGATGACTACAAAAGATACTTTATAAACTATGTGTAAGTAACTAAATACACTACTTACACTGTA